TTAACATATTTAATGAACTCACTGCCATCGAGTTGATTCCAACTCAACACGACCCTATAAGACAAGGTAGAATTGCCCCTGTGGGTTTCTGAGACTCAACTCTCTATGGGACTAGAAAGCCCCAACTTTCTCCCAAATTAATAATGTACCTACCAAATTCACTGCTTTTTAGTTGGTGGTGCTGACTCATAGTGATCCCCCTGTGGGTTTCCAATACTATAATTGTTTACGGGAGTAGAAAGCCTTGTCTTTCTTCTGCAGAGTGGCTGGTGGTTTTGAACTGCCCACTTTGTGGCTGGTGGTTTCAAACTGCCCACCTTGTGGATCACAGCCTAACTCGTAACTACTACATCACCAGTAAATGTAATTTTTATATGTACAATTCTATACAGTTTTATACATTTTAGAGTTTCACAACTACAAACCATACTCAGAATACAGAGCAGTTGCCTCATTCCATAAACATCCTAATGGTATCCCTTCACTGGAACTGCTGGCAACAGCTGGTTTGTTCTTCGTCACCTTTTTTTTTTCATTCTTTCTGATAATATCATGTAAATATAATCATACAAAATACAGACTTTTCAGATTCCTTTTTTTATCCATAAAATTCCCTTAGTGATTAATTCAGGTTGATGCCTATATCAATCTTCCATTGCTTTCTACTGCTGAATAGTGTGACAGTTTATGACTTGCTGCAGTTTGTTTATCCATTATCTATCCTTGGACTGCATTTGGGTTACTTTATCTGTTGTGTGACTCTGAATACAACATAAAACATTTGGGTAGAAATTTCTGTCAGTTTAAGTGATGATTACACTAGGGTAAATACCTAAAGGTTTTATTGCTGCATTATGGGATACATGTATGTTTAATTTTATATAAGACACTGTTAAAATATTTTCCAGGGTGGTGGTGCTATTTTTCACTTTCACTGTAATGTACAAGAGTGTTTCTTTGTATCATTGTCAGCACTTATAAGTGTCAGTATTCTTACTTTAGTCATTCTAAAGGATCCCGGGCATAAGCTCAAACCCACCAGGTGCTGTGGGAGAAATAGGAGGCTTTCTCCTTCCTTAAAAATGTACAGTTTCTGAAAGTCAAAGGGGCAGTTGATTCTTCGATAGCCAACAGGGCTGCCTTGAATTGGAATGGACTCAGTGGCAGTGCATTCTGAGACTGGAGGAGTAGTGGTATCCTAGTGTGTTTTTGCTATGCATATAATGGCTAATGGTGTGGAAAGTTTTGTATGCTTATTTATCATCTGGATGTCATAATTTCATAATTTTGACCCATTTTAAATTGGTTTGTTTTAATGTTATTGTTCGACAATTCTTTATATGTTCTGCATAGAAACTCTTTGTTGAACATGTAGTTTGGTATTTGCAAATATGTTCCTCACTCTGTAGCTTATTTTTCCATTTTCTTAGCACTGTTTGTTTGTGTTTTTTCTGGATAAAAGTTTATTTTGAAGAATTTCCTCTAAAAATATTTAAGAGAAACAAGAATGTATTGTTTATATTGACTGCTAATGTAAATGACCACAGACTTAATAACTTAAAGGAATTCCTGCCCCCCCCCCCTTTTTTTTCTCTTTCTCTTCTGGAACCTAGGAGACTGAAATCAGTTGCATTGTTCTGTAGTCGAGATACTGGTAGGATTGGTTCTTTCTCTAGACTCTAAGTGAAAACTAGACAATGCTATCCTTTTAGCTTATATCTTGTAACAGATTTTAAAGAACTTCAGAGAAGTATAAAGCTTTATACTTATCATGATATTATTTACACAATATTATTCCTGTTGTTCTCTTTCCATTTCTGTGTTCCACCTTTCCTCTAGAGGATCACTTAGAGATCTGTGTTCCACCTTTCCTTTAGAGATCACTTAGAGATCTGTGTTCTAGCTTTCCTCTAGAGATCACTTAGAGATCTGTGTTC